TAGTGAGTTCAGTAGTATGTGTGTGTGTGTGTGTGTGTGCGTATATATATATATATATATATATATATATATAAAGTATATTTCATATTATGGATTATATAATTATATTTCTACATTATTCAATAATATTCATGTGTTCTATATGGAACTCAGCATATGTCTCTGGCAGTTACCACACTTTCACTTGTGCTTTGAACTGCTATTTTCTTTCCTCATGGCACAAAACTTACCACATACACAAAATATAAACAGCTTTATTAATGGTACAAAACAATAGAACATCTTACAACAAATGCAAAGCAGAATAGCTTCAATTTACTTAGCTTGTTACCTGAAGTGTAGCAAATTAGTACCAAGTGACCTAACCTTTAAATATAAAAACTCTGTTTCTGTGTACATCTATTTGCTGTTTTACTCTGCTTATTAATGGAAAAAAAAACCTTCTAAGGTTCATATCTTTCAAATATGAAATGATGGATTAGGCCATTTTAATTTAAAGTAAGAAATCAAGATTTTTTTTCACACAACACAAGAAGCTTAGAAGTACTAAGTTCTTCCACTCATGCTTGCCACCCACTTTCCTGTCTCAAAGTCAAAAGGTTCTCCTCATTTTCGAGTATTTCCTTCTCAAAGCAACACCTCTAATTACCTACTTTTAGTTATTAACTTTATCCAATGTAGGAATCTTTGGTATGAAAAATTGTTTCCTATAAATGAAGTCAATACACCAAGTACGTACCTTTATTCTTGTATCACAGAAATTGTTAATTTTAAATGAAAACATGCTTGTACTCTTCATTTTAAATTATGAAATGGCTCTAGCCAATGGAAAGAGATTGCATTTAAAATTGCCCCAAGGTGTTAAAGATATTAAGATATTGAAAAGGATTTCAAAAAGACTTTCATTTTTAGGAGCATACTAGGAATCACTGGCTGCGCAAATGTCAGCAAAACCCGCTTAAAGCTGCCTCTGGCTGGTAACATTAAAAACTGAAATAATAACTAAAGGGCATATATTTTAAAGTATGATCATTATTTCACATAAATAAAAATATAATTCCATAATATGGTTCAAAAATATCATCTAGAACCATTAACTCACAGGGATACAGGCATCAGCACTGGCATTTAGAAGCCTTCACAAACACAGCACTAAACTTCAACTGGCCTAACAGAATCTCCAAAACTACTTTACAAACAAGCAGAACCAACTCTATTCCAAATTGGTATTTCCACACAAATTAATCTTTATTTGTCCTAAACATTCTAAGGATTCATAATCAAACCTCAATTGTGGCTCTCTAAGAAAACATATCTAAAGGTTATCAGTTTGTGCAATACAAACTTGCACATACATTAAAATGTTATGTATTTTCACACTGAACAACAACAGAAAAGTCTGATAAATTACTACACAGTCCCTATATTCAGAAAGTATGTACAATGTTCCCAAAGAGAAAAAGTATCTAAATATACACTGAAAGAATTAACAATTTAGATGGATATGTAAAATTTCTCTTACCTGTCCTGTGACTGTTCCTCGTACATTCTCTCCTTTCCCTCCTTAAAAAGCCTTATAGCTCGTTTTGACTTTTTCATGAGACTATCAATATAGATTTTAAAATATTCATTTTCACTGAGCTGTGCAAGTTTCTGGTTGTCATCATACTTGCTCAAAATAAGTCGCAAGTGTTGGTAGGTATCCGGTAAAATGTCAAGTATGTAAGGTGGGCTATTTTTCAATTGAAGTTTGGGATTCTGACACAGTCTGACCTACAATTAAAGAATAATTTACACAAATTTAACAATAAATTCACCCAAAGTCAAAACTTTATTGTATATGAATAAGATAATGGTGGGAAACTTACGCCTAAGCTATAACATTATCCAGAACTCAACTGTCCAAATAGAGACCTGTTGTGAATGCAAGTCAAGAACACTGTTGGTTCCTAATTAATTTCTACAAAGGCTGTAGAAAGAATTTTAGTATTATCGGTCAACAAGAAGAAAAAACAATAAAAATTAGCAACACTTAAAGACAAAATTGTACTGAAATCAGACTATATGATTTCTTCATATTATAGCTGAATCAGGATATTTGAATAAATACAGCACCTGGCTGGTGACACCTCAAAAGTGAGGAAAGAGTGATATTCATCTCTTCTATTTATTTGTTTTTAAAATTTCCTTCTATTACAAGCCATAGGAAGGAATTAATTGAATACCACAGCAGATTTAAATTTCTACCCCAGGCATGGTACAGATCTATCTAAACACTAAATCTATCTGAACAGTCTGTCACAACCAATTATGTTACCATTGTTATTATTTATTAGATTTATTTATATCCCACCTTTTGTAGAGGATCTCAAAGCAGCATACATAATGATCCCTCCTTCTATTTTTCTCCAAAACAACCTTGTAAGGTAGCTTGGGCTGAGAAAGTGTGACTGGCCCAAAATCACCCAGTGAGATTCCATGGCTGAAGGTGAACTAGAACCTCCCTACTCCTAGTCCAACACTTTAAACACTACACCACACTGCCTCTCATAATATAAATTATGACATATATTACTGCTATTGTTGTTATATATTATTTGTAAAATTATTTCTCATTTTTCATGATGAAAATAATATCCAAACAAGATTATCTTTATATTGTCTTTTATCTTATTATTAAGCCACTCAGAGTCCTCTGGAGTTGGATGGCCTCCAAATTCAGTAAAACAAATACATGTTAAAGATTTTATTTTTTTAAAAAAAAGTATGGAAATGAAAATAGGCATCTTTGTCATCACACAGATAAGTCAAAACCTTACACACGCTGCTTATGGGTAGCAAGTGTTCCATCTGACTAAAGAGACAGCACACTTTATGAAAGAAAACAGTTCCTCTTTCAGAGGCTCTTCCATTACACTGTAGGCCAAAATACTTAAATAGAAGCAACAGAAGGATTCTTCAGTTACCTTAGTATATGAACTAAGGTTCTTACAAAGGGCAGAGCCAATTAAAAGAAAAAAAAAGTACACTGTCAATATTTTGTCTTTGCCATATGATTAGCAAAACATATGCTGTGTGCAAAATAATATACTAAGTTTCCCTTCTCAGCTTGTGTTACATTTCAGCTATTGTGTAACCATTTATTCTGTTTCTTTAAATGTTCTAATAAACTATTAAAAATATTTCAGCTGAAATGAATCAGTCCAAGGATCTTATCTGGGGTTTCTGAACATATTTTATAATGCAACGTTTAGATACTTATATGATTCCATAGTTCCTATGATCAAGGTGACTTGAAAGCACATTCATTTTGTATTAACAAGATGCCGGTAAGTCAGTAACATGAAATGTTTACAATCCCTCCTTATTTATTTCTATATGTATTTCTGTAAAAGTAGTACATAATTAAGCAATAGGTCACATTTAGCTAATAATAAACTGAAGGGAAAATATCTTTGGCCTGTTTTAAAAAGGCTAAGATTCTTGTTTTGTGAAAACACAACTTTTAAGGTTTTCCAAGGAAGGGAAGGGGAAATCACAAGGTTTGATTCTGCATACCAAATGACTTCTTGTATACTTCTATACAAATGTAGACATCTAACTGCAATTCCACCATGGGAAAGCGGTCCTGTGTAAGTCTGTCCTTAAACAGTTTCTTCATAAGGACAAACTTCATTCTACACTAAGAATGTACTGCTGCAGGAATCTGAACAGACAGAAACACTTCATCCACAAATAATAAGGAGCAATCTAGTTCCTTTAAGAATATTTCACTGACTGCATATTTTATAGGGAATGCAGTCAAAAAGTTCCAAAACAGTTTTTTAAGGTATGAAAACTATGCATTATTTAGTTATTTATATGGATCTGGACAGGTAAAAAGCAAACTGGCCAAGACTTAGTTGCAAAGACACTACATTCAAATTAAGTAAACAACTTACATAGTTTATCACAGTTAAGAAATTTTTCTTATGAGATTATCATTCTATTTAATACCAAAGGATGGTAATAAAAATATGTATATAAATGAAAGCAAGCTTCCTTAGCAGAAGAAATCAGAATGGCTTCACACTCATTACACCACTTCCTCATATGCAGAGTTAATGACTTTCAGGTGCTAAAAATTTGACCAGAATGACATTGGCCCATTTCAATTGCTTGCCTAATAAAAAATAAAAAATCAACTAGTTAAACTGGTTTACCTGACAACAAGCAGATCCCAAAATATTTTAAGAGTGTTTTTTTTTTAATCCAAAGAACCACAACCTTTTATCTGCAAGAAAAAAACCCTAACTATGACAGAGTACAGAATAAATTTCCATAAACTAGTTTTAGATTATATGAAAACCACGTGCCTAGATAGGCAAAGATACAATTGAAAATGAAATGTCAATTAAAAAAAAACAGTGGAAAGATTTATTGATGACATTTTAAGTGGGACAAGTTAAATTCCTGAGCTGACAGCTGCAATTTTTCAAATAAAAATCTTGATAAATTACTAGTTTTCTTTATCCAATATTTCCACAGTCTAATTCTCCATTAAAGAGGTAGAAAATTAAGAGATCCTCCAATGAAACTGTAAAAATGGGATTAAAAAGCAAATACTTCTTTACTTGGCACTATGATAACATATGACGATTGCTTAGAATTCTGTAAGCATTCTGTCCATACATCAGGAAAGCACCCAAATTGAGAGGATGCTGGACTAGCCTATAGTTCATTTTAATCATGAGCCATTTAACAAGACTATGTCCTGTTTTACATTAGCCAGTTTACAGACCATAGTATATGACTATATATCACACTAAGGCCCATCCCCCAACCCACATTACTGCTTAATATGATGTACAAACTCAGTCATAGTCAAGCTACAGGTAGTCCTCAACTTATGACCATTCTTTTAATGACCATTGGAAGTTATGATGGCAATGAAAAAAGTGATTTACGACTGGTCCTTGCACTTATGACCATCACAGCATCCCCATGTGACCAAAATTCGTGCGCTTGGCAACCAGCATGTATTTATGATGGTTGCAGCATCCTGAGGTTACGTGATTACCATTTGTGACCTTCTCAGGAGGCTTCTGACAAGCAAAGTCAATGGGAGAAGCCGAATTTGCTTAACAACTGCAACTTAATGACTGTGGCAAAAAAGGTCATAAAATCGTGTACAACTCATTTAACTACTGCATTGCTTAACGATGGAAGTTCCATTCCCAATTGTGGTCATAAGTCAAGGTCTACTTGTACAGAATTTGCTATTGCAAGATGTAGCAATAACTGCCAATACTGGTAGTTTTGGTGCAAGGAGGTGGGATGCTGATTGTCACAGAAAATAACTATTTTAGTTCTTTGTATGGGCCAATTAACTGGCAAAAGTAATTCACTCTCTGTAAGGGTTAATAGTAATAGAGAGATTTGGCTTAGGGTAGAATGTACCAACTAAGGTATTTTTACAGCATATTAAATGCAAATTAAGGACTGGAAATCTGAAATGTTTAGCCAATGGGAAGGTGTCCCAAGAAACAAAGACAGAGACAATGAAACAGCACGCTAAAAGCTGAATTTAAAATTGTGCCACATATCAGACTGATTTGGAGAGAAAAATAATACATAGATGTATAGAGAAATAACAATTCAGGGCACAAATGGAGGCACGAAAATCAGAACTATTGTCAGGCGGCCAATGGGAAGCAGTGAAATTTGGGAACAAGCAAGGTTCCTCCTAGTCAACCCTGGCTGAACTTGAAAAATTAAACAAGGTTAGACCTACTAAACTGTATTTGGACAGGGGACAATCAGGGAAACACCAGCAATGTAAGCTAGACTGGTATCATAGAAGTAACTGCTAGGCAACAGAGTGGCTATATTTTGTTGTGAACTACTTATATATTAAGAAAAGCAATACACACAATTATACCATGACTATTTATAAAAGACAATTAAAAAGCTTGTACTTATGCTTATTTATCAGAGGTTTCTGCCTAAATATTAACATGCACAGAAATACAGGTTCAATATGGAAATTTTATGTCATAAGAATGTATCTCTTCTCTCCAATCAACTTCCAAAAAATCTTTCTGACAATCAGGATATACACCAGAATAATGAGGGATTGCTACAAGGGCTATCCTAAGATGGAAACATTATTCTAAATTAGATGGAGATGAACACAGTTTTGAGAAACAAATTCAAACATCAGAACAATACATTTTTCAGGAGAGCACATTGAACTGCGGTGGGCAGGGGGCATGCAGGAGAGAGAAAGCTATTTTTGAACTTCCATATTTTAGAACATTGCCCACTATATAAAGGTTCTTTAAAAAAAATCATGTGATGGTGAGGCATAGTCCAATCTAAACAGGAAGATTAAATGTTTTCACATAGTTTCAATATAAGTTATAATATGAAAATATCATTGAAAAGCTTCTTAAAGCTTGATCCCAAAAGTGATAGTGTGATTTTGATCAGTATGCTACTAAGTATGGATCATCTCAACAAATAAACAAATTTTAATGCACAATTTTCTAAATCCAGACTTAATCAATATACACTCTGCCATTTTGTGGGATGGGGGGGAATTGCTACCATGTCCACAAAGCAATTTCCTGTACTTTCAGTTTTATGTGCAGCACAGAACCTTAGTAGCTTAGTATTATTTTAGATCATCATAGTATCCAAGGAGAAACTTAAAACTGCACATGCTACAAAACTTAAGATGTGCTAAAATATCTCAGCAGATGACATGCCACAGAGGTTTAAATCCAAAGACACTTTATCAGTAGAAATGTCTCTCAAATTAGATAAATATTGTGATTAGTATGTAAGTTTAATTCAGAGGATGAAGAAAATTAAGTTGGATTTTTAACATGAAATTAAAAATCTTTCCCAAAGGATACCAAAATTAAAGAATAAAATTGATATATTAAATACATATTTCACTGAGCCTTTTTTAAAAAACAAAAGCAAACTGTAAAAACAAAAAACCCAATTCAGTTTGAATATGATAAAAACAAGGATTTTTAACTTTAAACTAAATAAGATTGTTTTTCACATATACGGACCATGGGAAGGAAAGATAACTTTATGGAGGTCAAACAAATCAAAATCCCACTTGATTTTGTAGACCAAATACTAACAAACATCACAGTCACTGGGATCAAGCCCATGATTCCATATACCACACTAACTCACCAAAATAGTATCAATCATGGTTTTTAATATTCCTATTGCTGGTTTGCGTTTTAAGGTTTTAAACTGTTACTATGTAATAGCACTGTGCAAATTCTTCAAAAGAACCTTCCTGACTGAAAGAAGTGTGGTAGAAAAAAGTGTGGCAGGGAGATAGAGAATTTATGTCAAGATACACATCTGAGTGTGAAGCCTTTTCTCCAGCCTCAGAGAAAGATATCCAACTGATTCCATTAACTTGGGATTGCAAGCTACCTGTTTTTTAAAAAATTAAAATAACCAAGAAGAGCTGGTTCAAATTCTTTTCAAATCCCAAATCCATTTAAAAAGATGGTTCCAATTGCTAAAGCAACCTCTTTCCAGACTCATGCAACTGTTTTGGGAACTGATCTCGACTGGTTCCACAGATATGTATATACACGGCTTCTTGTACATGCACTTGCAGATAGATACAGCCAAGAGAACCAATGAATCAGCCATACAAGCCTAAAAAAGGACATGGCTGCTTTAACAATTTGAAACTGTGGCTAGACTGTGAGTTCTAGTCCCGCTTTAGGCATGAAAGCCGGCTCAGTGACTTTGGGCCAGTCACTCTCTCTCAGCCCAACTTACCTCACAGGATTGTTGTTGTGGGGAACATAGGAGGAGGAAGGAGTATTAGGTATGTTCACCACCTTGAGTTATTTATAAAAATAAGAAACGTGGGATAAAAAGATCTTTTTAAAAAAATGGCTTCATTTATAGCCCATGCTGTTCTGAACCAGCTCTTTTGAAGAATTTTTGCAGCTCTAATATTTAATTGTTGTAAGATGTCTTGAAATCTGAGGTAAACAGGAAAGATATAAATGTTTTAAATAAATAAAATAAAACCAAAACCAAGGAGTCAATACGTGTATCTTTTATTGTGCATTTAAAGCACAGCCAACCTTTTCAAAAAAAAATTTTTACTTTGGGAAGTAAGACCATAATTATCAGTGAAGCATTTATGCAATATGCCCCACATTCAATTTCTGGTATTTCTGGTCAAAAACATCAGAACAGAAAATGATGTGAAAGATTTAGGCAATGCTGGACTGTATAAATATTTTGAGCTGGCATAGTCAGCTTATTATATTACATTCAATGTAGCATAACTAGAATTGCACACCTATGTTCTGTAATTTGCTCAAATTTCAAGTTACAGTATTACATAGAATACTATAGTCGGAAGAGTAACCCAGCTCATCATGTCCAATTCCCAGGTTAATGCTGGAATCCAACAAAAGTCTATACAGCAAAGAAGGGGACAGCCCATAACCTTCACAGGTAATTGTTTTCACTCTTAACTGCTTTAATCCTAACTAAAAGTTTGTTTAAGATTATACTAAACAACTATGATCAAAATTTAAAAGTGTAATCCCCCCCCCAAAAAAAACAGATTTGGAATTGACAATGACCTGGGCAATCAAGTAAAAAACTTACAGGTCTTCCACGTTGAGTCAAGAATAAATTTATACTGGTATTTTAAATTATGAACTGATTCTAAGGATTCTAAGAAGCAGGGTGTTGCAGACATATGTTTTAATCTGAGTTACTGCCATATTCTTGATAGTACTAACTGTCTTTAAACAACTTGCATGAGACATCCAAAGTAGGTAGCACACCAGGATTCAATTCCTGGAAAAAGCTGTAACTACCTTGCCATACAACAGCAGTGGGAATAATATTATGTATAAATCCCCATAAAGAACTTGTTTACTTTGATTGTCAATGAAAATGCTTCAAAATGTTTATATCAGGCCTATTTCATATAGAGAATCCATAAACAGGGATTATTAAACTTTTGCATGCAAACATGTACTATTAGACAAACAGACGGGTGACCTCTTGAATAATCCTTTATACACTATGTGTAAGAGTATCACATAGTTCTATTCATTTAGCATTCTCTACTTATAATTATGTTTTAAACATACTACAGTAAAAGCACCAACACAAATCTATGTCTAAAATATAATTCTGAAGGATTAAAAATTGGTCATTATATCAAGCTTATCACAAATGAACGTCCTACCTCCATAACAATAAAATATATTTTAGTTCAGGGAAAAAAAAGATACTCTCAGCTCCTATCTGTATTTCATAATATATGCTCCTACCACAAAATCTACAAAATAAGTAATTCTAGTGTATTTTAATATAGATATCTTAGTATATTACATGTTTTATCCTCCAAGGATGAATAATTTTTCAAGATCTGGTTATCATAATACAATACATTTTAGTGGGCCATTACAACTGAAGGCAATACTTAAATTGTTTGTTCATCTGATCACAATAATAAACCTATTTCTTTCACAGGAGATTTGATTACATGCATATGATTATCATAACAGTGGTTCTCAGCCTGATTGCCTTAACTGAAGTTTCAATTTCAAGGAAACAGTATAACAACATGAGCCAAAGTGGTACATATGAAATAAACTGCATATTCACAATCTTACAGCCAGCTGAAGAGCTCTAATCATCAATAAGTACAGCATTTAATATTCTTTTATACTGAGAATAAACATAGCTAAAGGCTGAATAAACATAGAAGATCTATCATAAACCTGAAAACACATACTGTTTCATTTGTCTAATCCAACAATAACAATTCCACTGTACATATTTATATTTTGTTACAAATATAATTTATAGACTCACCACTTTATCCATTAATTTCCAAGTTTTTTCCACAGTCCTGCGATCAGCAGCTGCCTGCTTGGGGGGGCCAACTGCATCCTGAATAGCATCAATGAATCCCAGAATACGCCCTTTGCGGGGGTTTCCTCCTCGGCCACCTGGGTTCCGGCCATTGAGGGAATTGGCCATCTGCGATCTTAAATTTATAAAAGAAAATAAAAGAAAAAAAATGTAATGCTGTGATATTGTTGCTCCCCCTTGCCCAAGCATAAAATAAATCAACACTGATTTCACATAGTCACCAAAAGAAAAAAATGTATGTAACCCTATAGTGGGAGTCTTAACTTTTGATGGTGAAGCAGAAGCACAAAAATGAAATTCGATCAAATGTCACTGTTAACAGAGCACATCTTATGGAAATATACAGTCTTGTCAAGCACGTTATGCTATTTTTCCTTATAGCTCTTTTTATACCCTTAAACACGTTATCAGCCCACTCTCAGATTTCATGCTCACTCTCCCATGTTAAACTTACACTTTCACACGAATAATTCTTTTCACATATGGTTCACAAGGGACAAATACATCTAACGAGTAACAAAGGTTTTAACAGCCACATTATCAACCTCGCCCCCCCCCCACAGCATCTGGTGGCAGAGGGGAGATGAAAAATTACATGTATATAATTGGGCAGATACATTCAAAATACGTACAAGTCTGCAACTATACGCAATACTTCTATGTAGCTATTGTTGTGGTTTTAAAAAGTAACGAGAAAAGAAAATAAATTCCAGAGAGGAAGGGAAAGTTGCTTTTGTAAATCCACAGTATCCAAGATTAGTTTCAAACAACCATCAGGCTCCTTTCCCTTGCTGGCCAGCGCTGGAGAGGTCGAAGGTTAGGCAACAGCGTCCCCAAGAAGTGCCGCCTGGTGAGCTTTTCTGCCTCCTCACTTTGGTCTCTTGTTTCCTCTTTTCCCTGCCTTCCCTCCGGGCACACAACAGCCCGCAGCACAGCCCGTGTTATTAAATCCCAACAGTTTTCCTGGTTCCGGTTTCTCGTTAAGCGCTCTCCGTCCCTCGGAGCGGCAGGAGCAGCCAGCAGCACCACACGACACGCCTTAAGCCTCCGCAGCGAGGCCGGCAGAGCCAAGAGCGATGGGACGC